ATCGATACTTACCTTAATGGCTTCTCTTTCCCATATACTACCATATTATTGTCTTATAACTCCATTTTATAAGTTTTGTGAGGTTTTGATTTTTTGAGTTTGGAGATGTTTTGGAGGATTTAAGAAGATGAAAAAGATAGGGTTTAATTGGGTTGTCGCGGCAGTTACGGTGGCGTTCGGTGGCGTTCGGCGGCGGCGGCGGCGGCGGCGGCGGTGAGGGTTGGAGAGGAGAAGAAATGGTGGAGGTTTTTTTTTTTTTTACAACAAAGGGTTTTTTTCTTTTTTTTTTTTATTTGGTTTTTGAATAGGTAATTTCTAAAAAAAATTGATATAATTGATATTTTGTATGAAGGGTGTTTTTGTACTTTTCTTTTTATTTTGGTATTAAAGTAAGAAAAAACTGATAAATATGTACTCAATTTTGGTTTTAAACTTGGTAGTATTCAAGTAAGCAAAAGTTGGGATTCAAAATAGTTGCCCCCAATCGCAAACCGGAAATCGAATTTTCAGAGATTGGAATGTGAAAAATTTGTTCCAAAGATGGAAATTTTCGGATTGAAATCGGCAGAATTTGGAATTTCCAGCTTTTTAGTCACCTAGATTATAAAATAGATAATAATACTGATTTTTAAAGTGTAATCTTCTTAACAAAAGATCGATTTTTTTGGATATTAAAATCGGATGGGAATTTGGAATCTAGTATTTACTCCAATTCCGTTCCAAAATAATTGGAAATCAGAACTTTCAGAGAATTCAGAATGAAAAATATTGTTCCAAAATCGGAAATATTCGGATATTAATCGGCGAAATTCGGAAATACCGTTACAACTCCCACCCCTAAGAAAATTCGATGAAAAACAAGTAAAAGTAGAATTAAAATCCTCGACTACATCTTATTGAATTGCAACGAAAATCTGAAAAAAAAAAAAGGAAAGCTAACATAAATAAGTTCAACCATACAACCAAGATATTCAAAGACTACACATATAGATACAGTTCTGATGAAGAAAGAAACCCAATTCTTCGTTCGCTGATGTCATATACCGTTTCCGAAAGCGTAATCATCATCAAACTGAAACTCACAATTCGACACCGTTTCATCTTGTTCCTACACATCAACAAAAACACCAAAAACAAAAATGAATTTTTCGAAAAAAAAAAAATAAACAGGAGAGAGGTAACAAAACGAATAAAAAAAAAAAAAAACCGTACCCGTTTGATCATAGCATTGACCAATTCATCCAAAGAATCGTAACTTTGAGGAACAAATCCAGCGTTCAACCTCGTTTCCTCCAAAAGGAAACTATCCTCATTGGACCTCTGTCTCAATTCATTAACGGGCTTTTCTATTTCATTCTGCTGCAACAGATTCGAACCACCACTAACACTCGATCTGCCATTAACAAACCCATCCATCCTCTGGTTCGAAATCGCGTTATTCTGCCCCAAACTCCTCCCCAAGCGGGACACTATACCATTCCCAGAAATATTCGAAGAATTCAACGAACCAAAAATATTATTACCATAATTCATGTTATGTACTTCACCACCCACTAAACCCACCCCCGAAGAAAAATCAGTGTTTAAATAAGCACCGTTCAAAGAAGCATCATTTCTTCTCGAGCCGTTGACCAGAGGTAACTGACTGTGAAAAGACTCGGTAGAAGAAAGCAACGGATTCGAAGAACCAAACGCACCACTAGCATCGAACGGCTCCGGATTAAAAGAGGCCCCATTTAATAACTCGTCGATAGCATTAAAATTCGAAGTTCCCAAAATGCCCTTACTATTATTATTAGTAGCATTCTGCTCCAAATGCGAGGGGATTCCTTGGAACAAACTCGTGTTTTGAGTTCCGAAATTCATTTTGTTAAGCGAAGCAATTGAGCTGCTCAAGTTTTGAGCTTGACTAGGCTGGAGTGGGCCCACAGATGGAGAAAGATTACGGAGGCTCACATTAGCAGAGGGGCTGTTAAGTCTGCCTAGCATTGCGTTTGTAGTAGTAGTGTAGGGAGATAAGACCACGTTTGGCAGTCTTGCACTGGATAAAGTTCGAAAATCTCCAAGCCCGTCTAGTGAACCCATGTGATGCATAAAAGGCGAATCTTTAACACCGAATGCAGCTGCCATGTGTGCTTGCTGTGATGCAGCTGAACTAATTCTCTTCAGATAAAGCCTATATTTCTGCAATAGTCAAAAAAAAAGTTAAAAGAGTTGCGTTTTTAAGATCAAAGTAAAATAAAATTTATACAAAAAAAAAAACGAAAATAAAATCAGTGCCTGGAGATGGCTGGCCACGTTTTCTCGGGTAAGCCCGTCAACATTCATCAGGTCAAGAATCCTCTTCGGAACAGCCTCTGCATTCGGAAAAAAAAGACAAGATTTGTTACTGTAACGGTCTCCGTAATTAGATGAAAATAAAAGAGTTAATCGTCTTTAGTACAGCTGTGATATATCGAATTGCTAAAAAAAACTCCTCGTGTTATCAATATTAGCAAAAAGACCCTTGTAATGGATTTTTTAACACACAACCCCCATAAATGGTCATTTTTTAGGGGGGGGGGGGGGTTTCCAGACAATATTGAATCATAGGGATGCTGAATGCAATAATAAAAGCTCGAGTTTATTAGAAGAACTCACTTTCGATTCCCAACTGATTAACAGCTCCAACAAACTTCCTGTGAAGCTCAATAGACCAAACAACACGAGGCTTCTTCTGAGTCGAAGGGTCTTCGTCATTTTCATTATCTTCACTCTCGTCTTCATCTTCTTTTCTCTTTCTGTTAAATTTCCCGTTTTGATCTGCATTTCCTGTCGGAGATCCAAGACCTTCTCCATTGGCCTGATGAGATTTGACTTGACCGCTCGATTTTTTCGGGTTTTTGTTGTCGCATTTTTTTCTCCTCAGCACATGTTGCCATATGTTCCTCAGTTCTTCGATTCTGACTGGTTTGACCAAATAATCACACGCACCGTGCGTGACTCCTTTCATTACTAGTTTCGGGTCACCATTTGCCGACAACACTGCAATAAATAACAAAGCATCGAAACAAAATTCAAGAATCAAGAAATCTTGTTCCATTAAAAAAAGAAAAAAAAAAAAAAAGAAGAATATGGGCTTACTGATAACAGGTAGATCCATCTCGAGACCGACGTATTCTAGAAGCTTGAAACCGTCCATGTCGGGCATGTGGACATCACTTATCACGAGGTCAAATCGGTCTTTGTTTTCTCTTAACATCTTCAAAGCCATTCTTGCCTGACTTGTTGTAGTGACTGTGGATAGAATAAATATTCATTAACTCTTTTATATTGATCAAAAGAATAAAAAATCGCAACCTAGGTTAATAATGCATTTAGGAAAACAAATAAATAACGGGGACTATTTGAAACGGATAATGTATCGAAATAGACCAAACATAGGCAATTTTAGCAATAACGGGCGTATATACGATATTTATATCATCGAGAAGGCATACGAAAGGATTCGCATTAATTGCAACTGTAAGACTTTATTAATTTTGTGGAATCGTTCTTAATTGTTTTAATGCTTTATACGCACGTAGAAGCTCCAAAATTATCGAATGGTAACCGTAGATTACGATTACATACGTATTTATACATGCACTACACACTAACATACACATAGGCTCACACACGTGCACATCCAAAAACAGTAATAAAATCTACGATTACAATCAACATGAGCCTTTCATACGCATTCTCGAGCGGATTTCGATCTCCATATAGAGCAAATTCCGAATCCACCACTATAAATCAAAAGAATTTGCCAAAATTTTGAAGGTAGGGAATTGAAAAACGTTGCCAATTACAGGTTTGAAACCCTTAGCTCAAAATCGTTCGATCAACATGCAACTCGAGGGTATAAAAGTTATTGTGTATACATTTTGCATTGCTAGTGTTCTAGCTATTTTGAGGGTATAAAAGTTTCATCTTTCATATAGAATTATTTTCAAGAAAATCCTATTAAGTTTCCTAGGCACAACATAAGGCTGCAAGAATTCAATTAAAAGACCAAATCGAAATTAAAAAAAATCGGAATTGGATCGACAAAATCTACAACCTAGGGCTTGCAAGTTGCAACATTCGAAGTAATTACTAAATTAATATATCTAAAATTCAAAAAATCAGGAAAAATTCCAAAAATAAGAGGAAAAATAAAACAAAGGGATGAAAAATCACAACAACCAGTATCATATATCAAAGGCAATTGATCAAACAGTTTGCAGTCATACTGGGAACAAAAAAATATCAATCAAAGAAATTACTGAAAATTAAAAACAGAATCCAAAACTGTGTGAGAGAGAGAAACAGACCATGGTACTGGCATTTTCTGAGCAGAGTCTCCAATAACTTCAAGCAAATTGGATCATCGTCAACGGCGAGAACACGCAGACCCACCGGAAAATTATCGCCGTCGCCCCTGATTTCCTCCACCGTCATTTTTTTAGCAGCACAAAATTCAAGAACCCCAGAACAAAAAGTAGAGATCAAAGACAAAATAATCGAGTCTTTTTAACAACAAAGTCACTTTCTCGAACACTCCACCAAAAAAAACCCAGATGCAGAAAAGAAAAAATAAAAAGCTCTCCTTTTAGTTTCCATAAGCGAAGAATTTGACTCAGATAAAGGAGAGAGAAAATCACAACGAAAACACACAGAAAACCGTCAGTGCGTGAGAGAGGAAAAAAAAGGAGAGGACAATGACGATGATGGCCAGAGCACAGTGAGTGGTTTCAACCCAACAAAACACCAACACCAAATCGGATCAGTTTCGCTCTCTACTCTCTCTCTCTCTCTCTCTCTGCGTGCAGATTTGGCTTTGGCTTTAGCTTTCTTTTTCCCTTTGATTTGAGATCAAAAAAAAGGTGTATATATAGATTATATATTAAAGCTGAGCGTATCCGATATATAGATACACAATATGTATACGCATTTGTGCAATGGATGTGAACAATTGAGCTTTTATGGAATAATATATTGGTTGCCTTTGTCTATAGTCTCTGCTCCTATCAACCTTTTTCCACTCTCTCTCTCTCTCTTCTTTCTCTCTCTTCTCTCTCTCTCTCTTACATGGAAGACAATAGCATGCAAATTTAGAAACAGAAGACTTTGGGGCACGATCCAGTGTGGGTAATGCCCACTGGAAGTTAAGGTACACCCCAGCCAGTCTGAGAATCTCTACCCTTTATTTGAACCATTTTCCACACGTTTTGTGTATTTTTAAACCTTAATTTTGAATTTTGAAGGTTTTGGGGAAAAATTAAATGGTTAGATTGGAAAGTTCGATATTGCCCCTAAATAATGATATTGCTTGGCTGAAAAATTGAAACTATGGTAATTAACTCGAGGGGTAATTTAGACTTTTTAGTGTAGACTTCATTTTTTTACTAAAGAATAATCTAGTCATTTGGAATCTTGGTAATAAATTTAGGATTTAAATGCTAATTATATTCCGATTTTTCCATTTTGAATAGGCATATCCAGCAATGCAAAATTACCCCTGTTTGAATATGGATAGATAATTTTGATAAATTGACTTTTATGCCCCCATCCAAATTCCTATACTACACGGTTTATTTATAGACTACATTCGATAAAAGTTACACCCGGTATCTTTTTATGTTGATCTACACACACCAATGTGGGTGCGTGTGTGTTTATGTGTATATGAATACGTAAAGATCTAATCAATGTATTTCACTCGATGTAGCATAGTATAAACCGAGTAAATCGAATGTTTCTAAGTATCATTTGGGGTAACATGTTGAGTTTAATGTGATAATCTTTTAAATTTGGTACTATATATTTCTACTATTTAAAATATTGAATGATGATTTAAATGCACATATTTATCAAGTTTGACTTAACGATGTAGCATAGAATAAACCGTGTAGCTATATTTTTTCTGTTTGAATACTAATCAGATTTATGCTACACTTGGTAAAATATATAAATCGAGTATGTTATTACCGCTCATTTATATTACATAATATAGAAATGTGTGTATGGTTGTAAATTTGTAGTATACCTACTATATATAATTTTTCCAAATGAATAATAAACCACATGTTAAAATTTCAAATAAAAATAAAAATAAGAAAAAGAAAATTACTGTAAACATGTTCAAAACCTGCAGATTGGAATTGAAAGTAGAATCAAAATTGTTGATATTTGATATGAATTATATGATATTTCATTAATCTAAAAGTAATTTAACTTAGATATATAAAAAAGTTCCATTAATCATTATTCTTAGGGGTAAATCCGATAAGTCGATATTATTAGTAATCACATTAATAATTACGTTATTATATTATCCAAAACTAATATGAAGTAAAAGTACGGTACGACAAATACGGCAGTCCTATATATAATTAAACCTCTATTATATAAATTAATAAAGTCGACACTAGCAAGATTATATTATTTTAGTAAAATATTTAATTATCGAACAACTAAGTTACTATGTTTTCAAGGAGCCAGAATCAGAAGGATTATTCTTTAAACGAAATTATTAATTTATCGAGATTTTTATTGTACGCCTAAATTGAGCATTTAAACCGTTTCAACATTATTCTTATGACAAAGCATTGAGAGCAATGAGCGTTTTTAATGGCTGTTAGGTTTGTAATAATCTCATAATTATTATTTATTAACTAAAATATCTCCAATAATTTGCAATCATTAATTAATTGCAAAAATTATTGGATCCAAAAACATATTTTGTACTATGCAGAGTAACATCTTTGCAAATTGCACTACTCTATAATTTTTTTTAATTGCAGCCAATTTTTTTTATAATAATAATAAATTAATTAATTAATCACAATTAAACAGGAAAACTAATCATTGGCTGCCATTATTGGTGTAAATAGTTGTGAGTCAGACTCAGTTGAATAGAAACTCAAACTCGAGCTCACTCATAAGAGAATATTCTACGTGTAATCATTGAAATGATTATTCTATCAACTTGATCTGCTAAATAATTTTCACTTAACTACTAATCAGTAATCACAAAGTAAAATGATTACTTAATTATTAAAATTCAAACCATCAATCAAGTGCTGCCATCTCAGGCCCTGCACATTCACCAAAGTCAAAGTCAACACTAAATTCCCTGCATTAAACTAAATTAAACTAATTTTGAAACCCCATAATATAATTTTTAGGGTTAACTGCAAAAAATCCCCTAAACTTTGGACGTTTTTGCGCTTTACCCCCTGAACGGAAAAAAGTTGCACGAGCATACCTAAACTTACGTATTTTTAGCACCGATTAAGAAATAGTCCATTTTTGGACATTTCTGGCCGGAATCAAAATCACGTGCCTTGCACGTGAATATAGCAGGGGTAAAATAGTATTTTCCCCTAAAAAATGTAATAGAAATGCCATCAACCAAGCCATTAATCCGATCACCGGTGATACAGCCGGAGCTCAAAACCTCATCAGCAACATCCATATCAATGGCTTCCAAAGCAGCCAATGCGTTGCTCTGTATCTGAATCGGCCCCCTATATTGCCCCTCCCCTCTAATTGCACTCAAATCCTTCTCGAACACCACCACGTCAAACCCTCTCCTCTTTGCCGCCAAAGCGAAAACCAGCCCCCCAATTCCGCCGCCGGCCACCAAAACCCTCATCTTCTTCTTTTCCTTAGACGGCGGCTCGGCTCTTGCCGGCTCGGCCACGGCGGCGGCGGCCTTGGCTCTGGTTGTAAATTTCTTGGAGAACCCATTTTCTGGATTCCTCGAGAGGGGTTTCTGGTTCGGTGACAACCCCGCCGGAAAATCCTTGGGAATTAGAAAAGGGGTTCTTGAATACAGCGCTGTTGATGGGTTGATTGGGTTGTAGAGCAGAGTTGAACTCATTCCTCTGTCTTTGATTTAACAAACAGAGGAGATGATTGATTGATTATCAACAACTGGGTTTTTCTTTTCTTTTTCTTTTTTTTGAAATTCTCAGTTGCAATTAAGCTGGAAGGTGAATTTGTGAGTGTGTGTGTGTGTGGGTGTGTGAGAGAGAAAGTGAGAGTGACGGTTAAGGGAGGTGGGAAGAAGAAGGATTGTAAATATGAAGGAGGTTGAGGGGAAAATACTATTTTACCCCTGCTATATTCACGTGCAAGGCACGTGATTTTGATTCCGGCCAGAAATGTCCAAAAATGA